TTAGGCAGCACAAGGATAACATCTTGCCAAAGCAGCTTTCTGTTTCTCTGTCTTTCAACACCTCCCACTACCAAGTGCAGAAACAATAGTGGTGAGTATCCAACTTTTTTACTGACCTATGTTCAAATGACGTATAGCAAGTGCGTCAATGTACAATTTTCTCTGCTAAGCACTCGCTTATAGATGCAGGCATTAACCTAAGCCCAATAAGTTTTGAGAATAATTTTTCACTTTAATTAACCATTTGAAAATATTTTAAATCCTGATATGGAATTATACCCTTATAGCAATGATAGTATGCAAAGGCAAAATCAAAATAAATATGGACAGAAAATTATTCCGTGCCCTGCACATTACCTTGTGTTTTTAGTGTTACCTCATTCCCTGATCACTAATGCAATATTTTTGAGGAAAACTGGAATCAATGGGTTTCAGGGGGCAAATTCTCCGCTGGTTGGAGTCATACCTGACACACAAGAAAATGTTGTGGCTGTTGGAGGTCAGTCATCTCAGCTCCAGGACATATCTGCAGGCTCAGGGTAGTGTCCTTCAGCATGATCTTGACAGGTTGGGTGAGTGGGTAAATCAACGGCAGATGCAGTATAATTTGGATAAATGTGAGTTTGCAAAAACAAGAAGGCAGATTACTACCTGAATGGCTGTAAATTGGGAGAGGGGAGTGTGCAATGGGACCTGGGTGTCCTTGTGCACCAGTTGCTGAAGGTAAGCATGCAGGCGCAGCAGGCGGTAAAGAAGGTAAATGGTATGTTGGCCTTCACTGCGAGAGGTTTCGAGTACAGGAGCAGGGATGTGTTGTTGCAGTTATACAGGGCCTTGGTGAGGCTACACCTAGAATATTGTGTGCAGTTTTGGTCTCCTTTTCCGAGGAAGGATGCTCTTGCTCTCGAGGGAGTGCAGCGAAAGTTTACCAGGCTGATTCTGGGGATGGCGGGTCTGACGTATGAGGAGAGATTGACTAGGTTGGGATTTTATTCGCTAGAGATCAGATGAATGAGGGGGGATCTCATAGATCCTTATAAAATTCTAACAGGACTGGACGGGTAGATGCAGGGAGGATGTTCCCGATGGTGGGTGTGTCCAGAACCAGGGGTCACAGTATGAGGATTCTGGGTAGACTATTTAGAACGGAGATGAGGAGACATTTCTTCACCCAAAGAGTGGTGAGCCTGTGGAATTCATTACCACAGGAAGTAGTTGATGTGAAAACATTGAATGTATTCAAGAGACGACTAGATATAGCACTTGGGGCAAATGAGATCAAAGGTTATGGGGAGAAAGCAGGATTAGGCTATTGAGTTGGACAATCAGCCATGATCGTGAAGAATGGCAGAGCAGGCTCGAAGGGCCGAATGGCCTCCTCCTGCTCCTATCTTCTATGTTTCTGTGTCCTAGGTCCAACCGTTCAGCTGGTTCATCAATGACCTTCCCTCCATCATACAGTCAGAAGTGGGGGTGTTCACCGATGATTGCACAATGTTCAGCACCATTAGTGACTCCTCAGATACTGAAGAGGTCCATGTTCAAATGCAGCAGGACCTGGAAAATATCCAGGCTAGGGCTCACAAGTGACAAGTAACTTTCATGCCACAACGATGCCAGGGTATGATCATCTCCAATGACAGACAATCTAACCACTGTCCCTTGACCATCAATGGTGTTACCATCACTGATTCCTCCATTATCAACATCCTGGGGATTCTATTGACCGGAAACTCAACTGGAATCGCCATATAAATACAGTGGTAACAAGAGCAAGTCAGAGGCTAGGAATACTGTGGCAAGTAACTTACCTAACCTGTTGGCTCCCAAAAGCCTGCTCACCATCGACAAGGCACAAATCAAGAATGTGATGGAATACTCTCAATTTGCCTAGATGAGTGCAGTGCCAAAAACACTCAATAAGCTTGATACCATGCAGATCAAAGCAGTATGCTTGAATGGCACCACATACACAAACATCCATTCCCTTCAGCACTGATGCTCAGGGGCAGTGTTTACCATCTACAAGGTGCACTGCAGAAATTCACACAAGATTCTTAGACAGCACCATCCAAATCTGTGACACCTTCCATCTAGAAGGACAAGGGCAGCAGATATATGGGACCACCAGCACCTGCAAATTCCCCTCCGAGCCTCTTACTATCCTCACTTGGAAGTATATCTCCCTACCCCACTTCTGTTCCTTCACTGTCGCTGTGTCAAAATCCTGGAATTCCCTCCCTAATGGCATTGTGGGCCTACATGCAGCACATAGTTTAAGAAGGCAGCTCACTGCCACCTTCTCAAGGACAACTAGGGAGAGGCAATGAATGCTGGCCAGTTATTGATACCCAGGTCCCATGGTAGAACAAAGAAAAGGCTTCAATAATACCATTCATGCCCGCTTTAAAGACAAAAGACTGCCTTTGGGCTTCAACTTTTTATTATCTCATACAATATTTTTTCCCGCATTAATAATACATTGTATAGGTTATTTATTATTTAAATTTTGACTGGGGACCTGAAAATACTGCATGCAATCTGCATTGGCAGCTGTTAAAGATGGTGTAAGTACAGGCGATTATTAATAGAAGTGACATTGAGGAGAGTAGCTGAGAAAACAACATTAAATCTTGCAGACTGGTAGTATGTTTTTAAAACTGACCCCAGAGTTATCAAATCACTCTCAATTTTCTGAAGAAGGGTCCAGACCCAAATCTTCAGCTTTCCTGCTCCTCTGATACTGCCCGGCCTGCTGTGTTCATCCAGCTCCACACCTTGTTATCTCAGACTCCAGCATCGGCAGTTCCTACTATCTCTTAATTTTTAATCCTGTTGGTTAGAAACCAAATCCATCAGTTTGGTTTTGCTGCAGTGAAATCAGCAAAGTGATGAAGTAAAACTGAATCAAAATTTTCAATCAATAGATTACTGTCACTGTCAGACTCTTCCAAATAGCAAAAAGTTCTTTTGAGTTCCACCTTCCTCTTAGCAATTGCAGTATTTTCTTCAAGCCTGTATTAGCCAAATGCTATGATATATAGAAGTTACTTTTTCCACTTTCTTTCTATAAGACCCTGTCTATTTTTGATCCAATCTGTTTCTTGAGTGCTGATTGTTTCGTCCTTTCATCCAAAGTTTCCTCTATAAAATGAGTTATCTTATAAAGATCTCATTTTGATGTTGGGCTATTACTCTGGATTATATCATTATCTGTTAAATTTACTATCTAGATAACTTGTGGTGGATACAGGGTTACACAGACTCCTTGTCCACAGTTCTTAGATTTGGATAATGCCACATGGCAATTACAGACTGACAATAGATGCCATTGCCGGTAGGCTGTATTGAGATTGTTTCTTGATTACTGGTGATAAACTAGATGGAAAGTAGGAGAGTCAAAACACATTGTGGTTGAGACTGTGGAATTTGAAGCATAAACACCTCAACCATGATCGAATAGGCTCAAGGGACACATGCTCTACAGCTCCTATTTATTATATTTTTATGTTGCCCACAGGGCATTGGGCAGCAGAGTTGCTGGTGGTAGATGTCAGTACATGACTAGTTTTCCAGCATTGTTGAACCTCCTGGGGAGGAAATGTTGGGTGGAATGAAACTGCAGCTTAGGTTTTTGCTTAGTTCCCAGTGTCTGCAAGCTGCGGAGGAATACTTGCACATTCTCTCCTCTTCACTGCCAGCATACAGACACACACATCATCCTACCACAGGAAACAGATGTCTGCTCACATGTGTTGACAGGGATCAGACACAGACACCCACAGGCTGGTTGATTAGTTACCTGACAGTAAAGAAAAGCTAATCACTGGTTTTTCCTAAATCACTGTGGATCAGACAGTGAATTGAGATAATGGTTGCAGAGGATGACTTGAATATTTTCTGTGGCATTGAATAGTAGGCAACAAGCACACCAAGCAGGGTTATCAGGCACCAGTCCGGGCTGAGTTGGAGTTCAAAAGGGAATCACAAATGTGGGAACTGGAATACAGAGGAAGCAATTCTAAATATAAGGGTGGGATCCAAAATGGCAGGGTATGGGGCATTACAAGAGGAGAGGTTTTCTCAAGTCACCACCATCCTGGCTTCAATGAGTGGGATAGTGTACAGTGGACATGGCCAGGGCGGAGGATAGTGATTATCAAATAAAGGGCTGCATGAAATGTGGGGAGCCTCAAAGCTGATGGGCTTGATAGGGAGAGCTGAAGGGTGGATGGGGACAGTCTTGAATCTCAGGCAGAGCCTTAACTCCACTCTCAGGAGCATGCCCTGGATATGGTTCCCGTTTCCACCAAACCCTAACTGTGCAATACACCTGGGAAATGGCTGCCAGCACATGCTCAGTGGATGATGTGCTTGTTTTATCTGTGCCGATCGGGTGCTCTTCTAAGCAATGTGAGGCCCCTCAAGGGGCAATGGCACTAACCAGGCATTCAGTGTCAATAGAATGCACACATGCAGTAGGTTACTCTGCAGGTGCAGCTTATGCATTGACCAACAATACAATACATAAACCTTAGCCACAAGTGATCTTGACCATGCCATTGATCATGACAAATTAGTCCTAGTAGTTCCCGATGAAACGGAAGTGATCAAAGCTGACATTAGAAGTGTTGCCTGCAGCTGTTGATACTCAAACACATTTCAAATGTCTAACAGATCCTCATGGGCTCTGAGCTGCTTTCTCCTCATAGTGAACTGTAAGGTATGTGAGAACGGGGACCCTTCATGCAATGCTGCATTTTGTGGGTGGTTCAGGTGGGGTAGAGTGGGGACATGTTGGGAATACTCCTACTCTGATTATAATATTCCAATGTATTTGTACAACATGGTTTGTGATGCATGCATCTGCATTTGATGTTCAATCTCAGAGATCCGTGTCTTGGCATTACGTAGCCATTTTTCTCTGAGGCTTCCATGTCCTACTGTATCATGGCCTTTGACAAAGCCTGATTTCTGTTTAGTATGTTTGCACTGCTCAGGAATCGTATCACTGAGAAGCTGTCCTCTTTCTGATAATGCTCCTGTATGTTCATTGCACCCATCCCGAAAGGATCCAACAACGGCAGGTGCTATTGTTGCTATTGTACAAAGACAGCACAGAAGAATTGAGGAGATACAAAGATGTCAGCAAGCAGGTGCCTGGGTGCCCGATGCTTGGGGGCAGCTGTCTTCCAAGAAGAAAGAGGAGGAGATTGAGCAAGAGGAATATCACTTCCAATATGACAGAGAAATGCAGCATTTGATGCACCAGAACAATTCACTGTGAGGCAGGATTTGGATGTTAATGAAGTTTAGGACATTGCCTATCCTTAACTGAGTGTGTGCTCCCTTATACGACACATTGCTGGAATGAATCTTTGCACTCGTGGGATTACATAGTGAAGAACATGAGTGGAGGCAAGGGCCTGTCACAAAGCATTCACATTAACTTTGCAATCAGTGATCTCATCACTGAAGGGCCATGTCTTGGCTGTAGTTATGAACATAATGATGAAGAATCGCTAAAATTTGTTGTTATCCAGGAGGCTTCTCAGCAAGGCACAATACCACTCCACTATAACCCCTGCCATCCTTGGGATGAAAGTGAAGGCTGCTTAGCTCTGACACAGTAACCACTTAACCCGGTTCTACAGCTAAAATGACAGTGAATCAGATACGTAATGACCTAAAGTGCGCTGATGTGATGTTGTATGTACAATTAACTTTCAACAAGGCCACTTACTGCCCCTGGAGGATTTTCTTTCTGCTTGCCCTCCCATTCCATCTAGATGCAGTGCCAGCACCCACAGCTAGGGGGAGAAAGGAGCCTGCACTGCTGTGCAAGTGATTTGTCCGGAAGAGTTGGGCAGATGGTCCCAGGGCATGTGTGAGCCCAGATGCAGGTTCATCCCCTTGGCTTGAACTTCCACAGGGTTGGGGATCGCTAGCGGGATGGAGGTGGAAGGGCCTGAGTGTGGTCCTGCTCTGTCCAGATGCCTGCTGACACCACCCTGTCTCCTGCAGAGGAAGTGGCCCCTGGAATGGGGTGGAGTCACCTCACTGTTGATGTTGAGCACCGATGGTTGAAGTGATAGCGTGTGAGTCTGCCTGTATTTTCAGTAACCACTGAAGGTTCAGCTGCTGCTGGCTTTCTGTGATGGCCACCAACGTATCCATGGAGACAGCCTGCTCCAACCTTTATTCCTGTTTACTGAGTGTCTCTGGCCATCCTGCCTGATGCTCTAGTAACTGTCTATGTATGTACATGAAGTGATCAATGGCCAATATTATGGGGCCCACTCCTGCCTGGGCCGAAGCAGATGTCCTGAGTGTCAGTGACCTGGACCATTTCTCCCTTGACCAGCCACAGAGAGGTGGCAGTGGTGAACTCATTGGACTGTGGTCCTGAGCCTAGTCTAAGCAAGTAGTGAGTGGGGTATCTATCGCTGAGCTGCTGGAAGATTCAGGAGGCAGCCTTGCTGAGATATCGTCTGAGGAAATCTGGTATTTTTTCCTCAGGGATAAAGGGAGAGCTGATGGGTGTGGGACTGGTCTGTTCAGGACAGAGGAGTTGTGAGAGTGCCATGGTGCCTGCATAAGAGAACAGAGGAAATAAATTACTCAAAGGGCTAGAAGGTTGTGCCTGTTATGAATACTTTCATAGTGGTGCTAATAGGCGAGCAGCAAAGCACAGTACAATGACCTTTATTCTTCACAGAGGTGTCAGTATCTCCATGTGAATCTCCATTTAAGTACATGAATAAGAAATGTTTGGATGGATATGGGCTAAGCGCAGGCAGGCAGGACTAGTTTAGTTGGGGATTATGGTTGGCGTGGACTGGTTGAACCGAAGGGTCTGTTTCCATGCTGTAGGACTCTACGACTCTATGACTCCATTAATTCAAGGATTTTCTTCCTTTTTGAGGTGAGGAGACAAATGTTTGCTTCTTCGCTACCCCAAATTGGCTATTTTACCCATATTAGGCAACATTTTCTCCTGCAATGGAAGAAATGTAGGGATTGAGTGAGATGAAAGTGACTGGGAGAGCTGCTTGTGGGAGTGTAGGAGCAGGACAGATGGTGTGCTGTACCGGGGGAGCATGTAGGAAGCTCAGGGGAAAGGGAGGTTTGTAGCTAGGGAGGATGAGGTGAGTGAGAGCTATAGAGGGAAGATGCTGGAGGTAACATTAAAAGGTAGTAGACCATAAGCCTTGGTGGGAGCTGTGTGCATTGATGGAATTACAATGAAGATGAGGTAGCAGACAGATGATGCAGCTATTTCCCTGGCAGACAGCAAATGGATTGACCTTCCTACAGCATCACTGACATTTCTTTTGCTCATCAAGCCAGCATGACCCAGGTTCCTATCTCATTCTATGCTGGCAGAGTCTGGTGGCATGGTCCTGAGGGAAGAGACTAGCCCTCCTTGTCCACAAGGATCCCCATCCACAAGTACCTGCGGGTTCCTGTCTACAAGTGGGCTGCCAACTTATTGTTCTTAGTTCCCTCCTTCAAATTGCCATCGAGCAGCAGACTTGGATTGGCAATTCTTTGCTTGTAGCAGTCGGAATGGTGTGCAGCTGGTGTTTAAATGTGGTCCCCACAGTATTTGTGGTGGATAATCCTGGCAGCAGGGAGCACCATCGCTTCTGTAGGCACGTGATTCAACGAGAGAGGCACGCTGAAGCCAGACACATAACTAACATGGAGCACGGAGGGAAGGCAGCATGTGAAAAATCACCATATCCAATGAGAGAAGGCATTCATTAAATTCCCTTAAATTGACATTCGACCAATATAGTACAGCTCATTGTTAAATCGACACAATTTACATTGAGTAGTTTTAACAGCTAGGGATAGAGCAAAGTTTGGGCAGGGTTTTGAAAGCCCAAGGAATAGCATTTGGTGGGAATCCCAACTTGCTCATTTCTAATTCTGAGTTTCACAGGGCTCTGCTTAGATAGATCCACGGGTGTTCTCATTCTGTCTGGAAAGTAATTAATAGGGATTTATTCGTAGGGATCTGTTCAGGATTTAGCGCAGAGTTATGAACTACAACCGAAGCATAAGCTTTCTTACCAGGAGTAGCCAGAAAAGATGGCAGAGGGCTATATTTGGTCAGTGAAACTGACAGCTGGGAAGGCTTTGAACAGTGAAATTAGCCAGCTGCAGCCATACCTAGATCTCCAAATGTGCTTTCAACAGGCGATTTCCAACTTCTCAGAATTCAATTTGCTTGCCTTGGACTTGGTTCACTTTGATTTCTACGTCCCTCAATTCAGCAGGGAAACGACCTCTGCAACTCTACCGCAGATTCTTGACAAGGAACAAGACAAGCACCAACTCTACGAGCATCAGGAGCAAGACCATCAGCAACACCAGGCAGCTCCTCCCCCACCACATACTTATCCACAGAGCATAGCTGATTGAAATCTGGATCAAAGGGTGAAGAAATGGAGCCCCCAAAACAGAGCTGATGAGCAGAGAAGCAGTTCTCTCGATGTACGTGGGCACCAGGACCTCACAAAGCTCAGGTGCTCATTGCAAGTTGGTGCTGGTTTCTGGAGAAAGACCTCCTTCCCAATGGGCCACGCTGGTATTCATGTCCAGTGACCATCAAGGTGTCCCTCATGAGAGCCTGTTGTTGTCTGTCACTTGCTGGATTTCTGTACCTTTTCTCCCCAAAGAAGAGAAAGCGGTGAGTTGTGAGTGTGAGTAATGGATTGTGTAAAGAAGAAGTAAGGTCATTTGTGACAGGTGATTGTGAGGAATATGATAAAGATGAGGGGGAGAGAGAGAGAGAGTTAATGACGGAGATGGGAAGAGGGAAGAATAAACAGAACTGCAAGATGTGCTCTTGTGAGGAACGTTAAGGAGGAGAATGCTGGGGAAGTCAGAGCGTGACCCCCTCAGGCTGTGATGCCATTCATTTTTCTTGTCCTTTTGAGGTCCTTGATCCTCGTGGTTCACTGTCGCCTGGTTGGAGGGACCCATAATCCTGCTGATAACTACTTAGTCCACTTCATCCCACATTCCTGATCTTCCATTCCTCTCTGTGGAAAACAGCAACTCATGTCAATCCCTCAGAATCACACAGCAGAAATCTCATGCACTGAGACAGGAGAGGTTTACCACACATATCCTTTCCATTCCTCTGATCCAGATGTTTCAGCAACCAGCATACAGATCAGCCACCCCTTCTTTAGACTGATTTGTGATTCTGCCCATCCTTTTTGATTGGTTGTAAACCCTGAAATCATGACGCTAATGTGGCGTGTGAATTAGAAAGCCACAACAAAATCTGTTTCAGTGACAAATGGTTTCCTGACTGATGATCAAGCACAACCTCCACTGTCAAGCCAAAAATGTACCCAACCTTCCTCAGCCACACCTTCTCAGAGTAATTCCTGTGGCAGCTACACATCTATCACAATCTGCAGGAAAGTGCTAACATGAAATCATCGAAAGAACTTATAACACAGGAGAAGGCCCTTCATCCCATTGTGCTTTTGTCATCTGGAAAACAAACGTTAATTCCCCAGTCCATCTCCTTGGCCATACAGCCGTGGGTTACTAGACTTAGTGCTGTGACATTACTGACCATTTTTTAAATGTACAGAGGGCTGTAAATTCCAAAACCCTCCGAGTGAAAATTTTACTGCCAATTGCTTTAAATCCATTTTGCTATTGTTCTGTCTGCTCACGGAAGAAGGTCTTTCCTATTCCAGTTGTTGCAGGACAACTAACCCGTCCAACCCCAACAAACCACAAGAAAACTGAAAATCACGCCAGGCTACCGTAAAAAATAAACATCATTCTATGCATTTAACCACAGTTGGCATCACATCAGCTCTTATGGTCTAATGTGGCCAGACACCTCATATTATATTTTCTACTACCCCACATCAAAAAATAAGCTCAAGATAATTTCACTTCAAGCTATAAATCAAGTTTGTGTATTCATCCTTAATGAGTAATTGTAAGCAATGATTTGTTTCAGTGTTTAAAATAAACCTCACTTGTCAAATTGTTTATACACAGAGACATCTTTGAAGTAGCAGCAGATTATTTTTTTGGGAAATGTTGTCACAGCACAGCTATACTGCACCATTCACATTATTTTGCTCTTGAAACTGCAAAAATTAAATAATGTGCCAGATTAGGAGAAATTATGCAGATCTTACAGCACAAACACAGAATATCTAAGCCAACACGTGAGTAGGTACTTAGGCCCGGCATGGGCTGACTTCTATCTCTCTTTGTCCAAACCTATAAATGTACCCTTCA